AGCGCTGCGCCGGCTCCGGAAGGCGCGGGCTCGGCAGGGTCGCTGGGGAACCCGCGGGTGCAGGGTCGGAGCTCCGCGCGGCCGGCGGGGAGAGGTAAGCAGGGGAGCGGGGGGCGCCCGAGCCCTGGCAGCAGCGGCCCGCGCCCGGCAACTGGCTCTCGGAACCCGCCTGCCACCCCAGCAACTTTGCGGGCGCGGCTTCCGTCCGGCCCCGCCCCGGGGTGGGGGCTGCGAGGCGGGGACCCCGGGGTGCAAGTCCTGCACCCCTGCAAGCCCGGCTCAGGGGCCCCTCTGGCTCCTGCACTTGCAGTCCGAAGGAAATGGCCCGATTTGCGGGGGGGGGGGGGGGGAGGGTCTAGCCCATGGGGGGAGGGGGGGGGGAGCGGGTCCAGAGGCCTGGCGCTCTTGGGGTTCACCTTGAGAAAGTCCTGGTTACTCTGCGAGTGCCCCCACTCCGAGCGCGCCCGGGAGCAGGCGGGGTCAGGGTTTACTCCCGCAGCAGGAGGCGCCGAAAAGCTGCTCCCCAGGGTAGTTCGGGCCTGGTTGCTCTCCTTGGAGATGCCCCTGCCAAAAAAAAAAAAAAAAAACGCAATTTGCAAACTACCGACTTGCTTTTTTTTTTTTTTGCGGAACCGGGGATTGAACTCAAACCCGTGCGCTTGCCAGGGAAGCGCTTATTCCACTGAGCCATCTCCCCAGCCTGTCTTACTTGCCTTCTTGCCAGAGTTGATTTCAGTGGGATAAGTTTTGAGGGTCTGTATTTTGGAAAAAATGAAAGGTACACAGTCAAAACACAGTTAGAGGCTAGGGAAGTTAATTTCACTGTTTTTTTGTTTTGTTCTGCCAGGAGATATTTGGAAACAGCTTAAAAATAGTGCTTTTAAATAATTTTTAGATTTATTTAAAACATCCACGGAAAAGTAGATGTAGTAGACCACTTTTGACGTAATTTGAATACTAAATTCCCTGACTTTTTACTTTTATTCTTGTATTGTTATTTTTGAATTTGCAAATATGCAAGCTGTAAATGAATTTTATAGCAGCTTTTAAAAATAATTGATACCTCTTCACTTTAAGTCTGTGTTTTTTCCTCTTGCTTTTAATTCAAGGAACTGTTGGGTGAAAATATCGCTTGGGTAGTAGAGTATTGGCGTTGTTCTCTGTGGCAGTAGAGAAACGAAGCGAGAGCTACATAAAACTGGATCTCGTTTTGCACATTTGCAAAATGAGGAGATTTATCTTCTCAGATCAGAGATAATCTCTAAGGTTCTTCCCTGTCCTGAGAATTCCGTATACATCGTCAGGATTTGGGAATGCAAATATTAGTTGAAGTCTAGATTAAAACTTTTATACATTTAAGTGGAAGACACGTGATAGCTGAGTTTAATCGTGTCAGTCTCTCAGAATAGCTGAGCCATTCATTGGGCGTTCTGTGCTCTTACATGGTTACATTGTATGCTACTAAATAAAAATGTGTCCGGGACCTTAAATCCCTTACTCCTTGCTTCAGGACTGATTAATAGGGCTGACACGCTAGAACATTCCTGTCTGTTTCTTTTTAAATAGTCTGCAGGAAACATCAAGAGTGTTATGAAGCATTTAAAGCATTAACATCAATATACAAGGACACATAAACAACATTACAGACAAGAAATTTCAAAATTTATGATCCTTTACAACCCTGCAAATTGCATTTGAGGTAATTTTTGTAATTATGGTATTGGTCAGGTGAAAGCAATGCCTGTTGGAGAATGAATTTGCCTCTAATTAATAGGTAAGTATGTTTGAATCAGGATTTTCTCTAAGGAAAAGACAAAATGTTTTTCCCTTCTGTCTGAGCAGTTACAGGAAAATATCTAGAGTAAAAGTTACAACAGGTATTCTCCACAGTAAGTAAGTAGGTGACAAAAGCTTGCTGGTTTAAGTGACCTAGAGTATAACAGTGGTGTGTCGGCCTCCAACCCGGAGATCCAGGGGTTAATTCACACATACTGGAAACAGAGCCTGACACCCCGTGCTCCCTAAAGCCAGCCAGTGTTGCTCCTTCTGGAATGGGGTGGGGTCACCGCAGAAGGGCTCCTGGAGCAGGACTGGAGGGCACAAGCAGTTGGCAGAACTTACTGGAGACTCTCCAGCTCTCCCACACTCATTTTCTACTCTGAATGATACATCCCTCATCTGAGAATCTCAGTTTCAGAGTGTGAGACTTTCGGAGCACTGAGATGCTGCGCAAGCTCCAGGTTTGGGAGTATTTCAGATTTGAGATTTTCAGCTTAAAGATGCTCAGCTGGTAAAGTCTATGCAAATAGTTCAAACACCCCCCCTACTCCACAACTCCCACTCCTCCTATCCCACTCCACCTCCGCCTTTCCCCAAAGAAAGCCAATCTGAAATATGCAAGGCTTCTAGTCCCAGGCATTCTGCGTAAGGGACACTTAGCCTGTAGTAATATTTAGATTGCAGAGCTGCTGGGACTCATAGGTGGGTTGGTGTTTTTGAGATCTAGTGTCTCCATGTAGTATGACAACACTGCTAATCTTGGTTCTGCCCACCTACCTTGGAGGTTGTCTGTTGACTAAATTGTGGGCTGAGTAGTGGAATACAGTGTTGATTGTAATTTTCAGAATTTTTTGGTTTGTTTTTGAGGTAGTGGTGCAGGCTGGCCTTGAACTCACTATGTAGTCCAGACTTGCCTTGAATTTGTGGTAATCCTCCTGCCTCAGCCTCCTGAGTGCTAGAATTATAGGCATGAGCCACCACACTTGGCAATTATCTGAAATTTGAGGTGACAAAATCTTAGTGTCTGTCAAATCTTCGTAATGCTTTATTATACACGATACTATACACTATTTTTTTCAGTTTTGTTTATTTTTAAAATTATTCACTGGGAAAATTAAGTACAAATCTGAAAACACACATGAGACATTTGTAATTCCACATTTAATTTTTGCTTATGTGTATGTTGATTGGTACAGGTATTTCACATATTTAAATATGGATGCACTCTAGTCATGTACAGGAAATCAGTAAAGAGAGAATTAGTTTATTCCTGGATAAACCTATAAATCCTTGCTGTGCAGAAATAGATATATCAATATTTAATATGCTTTTCAATTGGCGTATGTCATGTTTGGGAATTTGGGTAGCTTTATTGGGCTTTCATAGATATTCTAAAAAACAAGTTTGTTTGATTTTTGCTTTTTAAAATTTAAGGCTATCTTTTTTTTTTTAAAAGAGAATACAGAGTAGTAATATGGAAGAAAAAAATAGAAATTGTACAAAATTTCACTAAACAAAATAATATGCATTCAATAGTGCTTGTTGTATTGCATAATGTTGTATTCAAGTTAGTCGTTCAGATTACCAGATCTAGGCATGCAAAATTGGAAAAAGAAAGAAAAGGGATAAAAGTTATAAGAAATTAAGAAGAGAGAAAAAGGAAAAAAAAAAAAACAACAACAAAACAAGCAAAAAAAAAAAAAAAAAAAGCACCAACTTCTTCCCATAGGCCAGCAAAACTACAGTACAGTTATCCAAATCATCCTTCTTATGTACATAGATATTTGAAACACAGCATTTATTTAAAATTCAGTATGTAGAGTGAGGTCCTGAGTTCAATTCCCAGTACCTCCCTAGTGAAAAATAAAATAAAATAAAATTTACAGTGCAACAACTGACTTTAAATGATTTTTAAGTAGCATATTTGTATATAAAGTATACTTTTCACTATATCGTATAGATCTTAAAGGAAACTGGGCTTAATGTTGACATTTGAGTTTCCCTAAATTTCAAGCTGCAAGAGGACAGGGATTTGAATTATTGCATTATTTTAGTGGCTCTGCGAATTATTGCCATGGTCCATCATGCTATGGTGGATGTTTTACAGTTAGGCATGTTCCAGTATAGCTGGAATATTAGGGCACAGTCTGAGCAGAACGCAGCCTTCAGGCTTGCTTATGCGTGACCTTCTCCCTGGAAGACAGTGTGAACACACTGAACTGTGAGCAGCTGAACTGAGCCACACAGGAATACACAAAACACAAGACTGCACAGGTCTCAGACATCTGCCGGCTACACTGGCCCACCATATCTTACCTTCAGAGGTTGTGTTTTGCTCTCTTCCACACTTATGAACTCTTCTGTATAAAAACACACTCGTCCAACATCCCAAGCATATTTAAACATTTATTTTCTAAAAACAAAAATTTAATATCGAAAAGAAGCTGGAAGTAATTAAGTGTCGAAAGAATCAGGGGACTACGTGGCATTTCCCGAGCACAAGAATTAGGGAATACCGCACACTGCAGATCATTAGAGGCAGGGCTGCAAAAATAAAGGTCTATGGTAAGAGTAAAAAAAAAGAGGTAGCAGCAAGTTTCAAAGAAATAGAAGAAATTGAAACATTACTGGGTGTGTGGATTGAGACTAAACCATGAGTAATCTTTCTCTCTGTGAAAGAGAAGGCACTAGCCCATCTGAACACTGTAAAAGGAAACTGTTCCACACCATACAAGCCCTCCTGTCAGCCCTACACTCGGCTGGTTTGATGGTTTCGAATGGCACTAGTTGTCCAATTCTGTTGCGCTAAAACAAAAGAGTTTCCAGCGGTGATAGAGAGGTCAGTTGAAGAAGGCTGCACAAAACTTCAATTTTGATGAGGCGATTATCTATTAGAAATGTGTACCTCCAGGAACCCACTTTCACGGCTGGGAAAAAATGCCCCTGGCTTTAAGACTGTGAAAGACAGCGTTTTTGGTTCTTCTTCCATCACTCAACTGTGACTTGTGTACTGCAGCTCTTCCTGTGTCACTTCTCTAAGCGAACTGAGAGCCTTTGTAAAGGCTCAGTACTGCATTTGTGTGTTTGTAAGCCATTGGACATGTATAAAATTGCCAGTGCTGTTATTCTGTCTTTTTTTTTTTTTAAGAATTCTTTAGACAAAGAATTTAAGTGTTACATCTCTAACACCATTTTTCTATAAGCCCTGGGGTTTCTTTTTCTTTTCTTTTCTTTTCTTTTCTTTTCTTTTCTTTTCTTTCTTTTTTTTTTTCCTGGTACCAGAGATCAAACTAAGGACCTTTTGCTTACCAGGCAAGCATTTAATCTACTGAGCTATCTCCCTGGCCCTTATGACCTGTAGTTTCTATTGTGCAGTTTGTGCAATGATTTTTTTTAGGAACACATAGGATCTGTGTTGCAGCAGAAGAGACGATAGTTACTTAAAAGTAGCATAGAAGAGGGAAGCATGATATTATTGGAACAATAAGGGTGATACCTATCATTTCCTCTCCTAATGGAGTCTAGTGGTGACCAGAGGCCAAAAGCGACTCCCCTGACCCAGGTGTAGGGTCCACCTGGCTGTTGAGCCAGAAGAAGTAAAAGCTTATAGCCAATTAGCATAGGTGATCTCATAGAGCCGTTTGCCAGAAAGATACCTGAGAACCTGACCTAAATGTAAAAAAGTGAGTGCGTTTGCTGCACATTGGTTGCTCAGAGTTGTGGGAATTGCAGGTGTCCACCGTTGATTTGTGTTAAAAAAAAAAAAAAATAGACTGTTTCATGTGAGCGCTTCTCCTGTGTCCTTCATTGGGAAGTCGGGACTCGCTCTTTGGTAAGCATAGCTCTGTAATGTAATGTCCTAGCAGCTGCTAAAAAGGAAACAGCTCCCTGCTTATACTTTTAACCCTTTTCAGGGTGTGGAGAAGCCAGAAAAATTTGAATAGAGCCTGGCAATTATTTAAAGCAGTGAAATGGCAAGCTTGAGAAAGATTTACCGCCACTGCTGCACATCAAATAGTTTTGGGAACACTATAGCTGACTCGACTGCTGGGCCCATCTTCCCTGCCTCTGTGGCTGAAAACACTGTAGGTTCGGCTGGATACAGCAGGACATGCCTGGAATCCAGTTACTAGGGAGGCTGAAGGGGGAGTATTCCAAGTTCAAGGTCAGCATGGGCAGCTTAGCTCACCCTGCTTCAAAATCAAAAAATAAATGAAAAGGCCTAGGGCTATCTCAGTGCTCACTGAGTTCAATCCCCAGTACTGTGGGGAGGGGGAAGCCCAAACTCAGAAACTCTTAAGAAGACCTTACAATTACTTGACCCTAAAGCAGAAGGGAGAAAACAAGAATGTTGTTGACCTGTTCCAGTAAATCTATATGTTCAGGTACAGTTGTATGTGAAGCAGCATATCATCTTGGCTAAGAGATTAAATCTGCTCTACCATTTGGATAATCTTTTTAACCTCCCTGCCTTGGTTTTTTCATCTGTAAATTGGGGGCAATAAAACTACTTACCTCAAAAAAAGGGAAAAATTAAATGCAATACTATTTGAAGATCTTCAGTAATGTTGCCAGCACACATTAAATACTCAATAAATGCTAGAGCAAGGATGGCAAACCTTTTAGAGACCGAGTGCCAAACTGTGACCTCAAACCCACATACTTATCAAGAGTACCAACACTACAACTAACCCAGAATACTGAGGTTTTAGTTTAGAAAAGCAACTCTATAATAACATCTTCTGTCTTAAAAGACAATCACAATGATGCTCATGCGGTAGGGTTGCCACCACTGTGCTAGAGGCTGGTAGAGGCATATGAATGAGATGGCCACCGGGTATTGTGCCAATTTTACATCACTTGGTTCATCTTCCCCTGGTGAAGTCACACAACTTGGAGAATTACAAAACTACTTGTTGT